TTTTCAATCCCAGGACTCCTTTAACCATTACTCTCAAATCTCTTACCCTTCATCTGGATGACTTCCTCACTATCCAACCACCCCATTACCTTCCTTCCAAGTTTGTCCATGTTCTAGCTAGCAGCCCACCATCGTGGGACTGTCCAGTGCCTGCTTTCTCTGTGTCTACCCTCCTGCCCGCCATGATTCTGTGTCCTAGTGGAAAAGAAAAACAAAACACCTTGTAATCTTGTCTGGTTGGAAATCCTGTTAGCCTTTTCCAATACCTGTAAATGATACACAGACCTTATCAATGCTTCTTTCTCTCTCCTAAGTACTTGTGCTTAGCAGAGAGCAGCCTCTTCTATACCATGGGAAATGGAGATGATTGTATATAAAAATGAAATACCCCCACAGCTGAGGCAGAGACTTCCTGTCCTCCCTCGTTCCTCCTAGACATACAGTCCTACCTCACACCTTGCCTTGCAGTTCCACATCATCCTGTGACTAATTTTCTTTGCCAGTAGAATTTCAGTATTATTGGCTTATATTACTTCTGTATCTGGTCTACAAAAATGTCCCACATTCTCATCATCATTGTCTTTCTCCTCCATGTCACCTGTTGGGTGCCATGGAAACCAGTGTGTTACCTTAATCCTTGAGTAACTACAGAGAACATTGTGATCTGCTTGCCAAAACTGCACTAAGTATGACACAAGAAATAAACTTCGGTATTTGGACCCAAATACCACTACAAGTTAGGGTCTATTTTTTACAACAGTATAGTCTAACTAGTGCAATATCTACTTTTCTTTTGTTTATTCTATTTATCTATATTTTTTGGCAGGGTGCTGGGGATTGAAGCCAGGTCCTTATTTGTGCTAAGGTTAAGTGCACTACCACTGAGCTATGTCCCCAACCCTCTCTTCTCTGTAGAGAAAGTAGAGAAAGTAGCTTTCTCCTACTCTGGCCCAGGGAAGCTTTCTACCTGAACTCTAGACTCCCACCCCATCCCCAATCTCTATTTCATTAATTATTTACTCTCTCCCCTAGATCTTCAACTTATCCGTTCTTGGCTCTTTTCCCTCAGCACATAGACATGATCGGATCTGTTTGAAAAATATCTTAAGTTACATGATTTGATAGTGTCTTTATCTGGACCTGCCTTTTCTTCTTCCCTTCACTGTGAAGTCTTTCTCACCCCACTTTCTACCTCTACTCACCCCTCACTCCTCTGTGACCTGGCCTCTGTCACCACTCTATTCTGACATTGTTTCATATTGCTCCAGTGACCTGACTGGCTCTGGTCCTGTCTGACTTCTTATCTACCTTGACAGAGACTCTAGAAGGCTGTCTCTCCTTCCATTTCTGCAATATGGTACTTAGTCACTGTGGCTCCCTCTCTCCCCTTCTAAGTCTCCTTCACAGCTTCTTTTTACCCTTTGTCTTTGGTAATGTGGATTTAGTCTCCATCTCTTCCTTTTCCACTGCCCAGCTATCTCTTTCTAACCAAACTCCTCCTGTGACTTAAATGATCACTATTGATTTTAATGCCATGTATCCTTAGTGCCTCAAATTTATATCGCCAGTTGCTCTTTAGATATTTCTGTCATTATGGCCCATAGGCACCTGAAACTTAGTATGTCCACTGTGGGAAAATTGTCCTGACCCCTGTCCTGACCTCTTTATACCTCCTGTATTCTGTGGTTGTCCTTGCTTAATTATGTGGATAGCTTCTAGGCTCTAGAGCGTAGGCACTGTCCCTTAGCTTTTTCACTCATAGCTGCCACATAAGCAACACTTCCACTTTCAACTTTTTGATGGCTAATTGGAGATAAGAGTCTCTTAGACTTATCTGGGCTGGTTTTGAGTGGTGATCCTCAGATCTCAGTCTCCTGGGTAGGTATGAGCCACTGTTACCTAGGTTCTATCTTCTTTATATCCATTTCCAGCAGTGCCAGGACAACATAATTACTCCAGAAACAGTTTTAATAATGAAGTATCTACAAAGGAATTGGGGAAATTCTGCCTGATATAGGAGTAGTATATTCTAGCTAATCATCCCCTTGCTCTGAGGCTATGAAAGAGAAAGAGAGGTCTGGCCACTAAACTACCGGGACACCCAGACATCTAAAGCAATTGATTATTTTCCTTATATTCTCTGCTTTCTACTCCTGTACACTTACTAATTCCCCTTTCAATTAAAGATAACCTGATTACAGCAACGACACTTCTAATTATACCTCTTTCCTTTGTTTCTTGTCTTCTTAACTGTTCTAAATCCAAGCTTCCTTCGATACTTTGGCCCCTTTTTAACTAAATCCTTTCTTTTGATAGCAGGTATTTTGAAAAGTGCCAAAGAGGAATTCTGTCCACTTACAGACTGAAATGTCCACCCAAGCTTCCTGACAATCACACCAAGAGACACAAGGAAAGAGACACAAAGAGAAGCTAGAGTTTGTTGTGAAAACTTTCTTTAAATAACTACAGCAAAGGCTTTATGTTATAGAACCATTTTCTCCCTCTCAATCCTGTATCCTATCTCCCTCTGTATCCTATATCAAAATAGACCAGTATATATGTTTCCAGTTCTTTTTTTTTTTTCTGACCTAGAAAAATTAAAGCCAAGGATTCCAGTCCATTCATGGAAAAGTACCAGAGTAATGCTGGAGATTTTAAATCAAGCTCAGCAAATGTGGCCTCTAACATAGTCTCTAAGATTGGTCCCTGCTAATAGGTATTGCTGTACCACCAACAAACTTACAATGCCTTCTCTTGGTTAAAAAATAAAAATAAAAAAGATAGAGAACAGGTGCTGATGTCAACTCAGACATTGTGAAACAAAGTCAGAAAATGTGGGACAATGAAATGAGCACCGGAGAGAAGAGGGTCAGAGGACAGGGGAGGAGAAAATAGCAAATTTGTCATGGGGAATGATGAGAAGATGGTGGGAAAGTGGCAGAGGGGCAGGTGGTGTGGAGGGAACACAAGAATGTCTTACAACAGAAAGAATTGGAAAGCAAAGCTAAAGAATGATCTAGCTAGGTGTTATCACCTATAATCCTAAGTACTCAGGAGGCTAAGATCTGAGGATTGTGATTTGAAACCAGCCTGGGTAAGAAAGTCCATGCAACTCATATCTAATTAACCACCAAAAAAAACAAAGCCAAAAGCGGAGGTGTGACTCAGTGATAAAGAGCTAGCCTTCAGCAAAAAAGCTAAGGGCAATGCTCAGGTTCTGAGTTCAAGACCCAGTACTAGCATAAGAGAGAGAAAGAGAGAGAGAGAGAGAGAGAGAGAGAGAATGATGCTAAGATGCATAGATAAAAACACTCAAGTAATTTAGTTGTATCAGCAGGACTGGTAAAGAACACTGAGAGGCTCTTAAGATCTCAGACTAGAAGGATCAACATGTGGACAGAGAAAATAAAAGGAGTTAGCAGCTGTGAGGAGGGGGTGGTGGCAGTGCTGTGATTCTACCTCTTCACGAGGTTAATGAAGAATACAACTCTGCTCTACAAATGGTAAATAAATTAGGGTGAAGTCCATAGCACTTCAGTGGAAAATGAGAAAATTAGGCTAGCCTGTCATATTCCTTAAAAAAAAAAAACAACAAAAAACAAGTCCTGGGGCTTGAACTCAGGGCCTGCACACTGTCCCTGAGCCTCTTTGTGCTCTACTACTTGAGCCACAGTGCCACTTGTAGCTTTTTCTAAGTTGTTTTCCTGGGATAAGAGTCTCACAGACTTTTCTGCCTGGGCTGGCTTCCAACCCAGGTCCTTAGATCTCACCTCCTGAGTAGCTAGGATTACAGGCACCGGTGGCAGGCTCAACATTTTTAATCGGTGAAGAAAACCATTCCGTATGCAGAAATTACATCAATAAGCCAACATAGAACATTCTGTACAAATCTATTCCACTCATGAAATTTAGACTAAATAAAAACAAAGTAACATGAGTATCAAATACCTTGACTGGTAAAAACATAATTCCTATCGATTTTGACTTACAAGACAATGAACTACCCAACAGTGATGTTTTTTTCCAGTCACAATTATGGAGGAAAAAGAAAGTGAGAAACCCACACCAACTTCCGGGGGGGGGGGGTCTCTCAAATTTGGACTAGTGTCTCCGGACTCCTGGAAATTAGGGCCCAAGGAACAGGCTGCTCAGGATCTCCACATCTAGAAGGATTTGGATGGATCCAAGATGAGTCTCCTGGTTCTCAGTACTGATGCTGGAAAACCTGAAATGGCTCCAAGTGTTGATAAGGGAGGGCAACTTTTGGGCCACGGCGGTGGAACACATCTGTGATTCTAACACGTCTGGAGGCAGAAGGAGGATCAGAAGTTTGACGCCAGCCTAGGCAAAGATAAGGGAAATGTATCTCAAAAACAACAACAAAAAAGGCGGGGGGCGTGGCTCAAGTGGTAGAGCACCTTGCCTAACCAGGCCAAAGCTCTGAGTTCAACCTCTAGTATCACTAACTCCCGCCTCCACCCCCCCCCCCAACACACACACACACACACACACACACACACACACGAAGAAAGAAAGAAAAAGGCACGTTTCGGGGAGACCACAGAGTTCCTGCTAGTCTGTCCGCCCCCACGCATTGACTTGAGCGTCCCTCGCGCGCGCGACCGCCGGGAGAGGACAGAAACCGACCTTCGATTGCTTTTGTTTCCTGCACGGCCTGGCGGGGACGCCGAGGATCGGCGGGTCGCCTTACCTGCCTGGCGCTTCCCGGGCTCGAGCGGCTGCGCGTCCTGCGGAGCGGTGCGTGGCGGGCCCGGGTTCAGCCGTGACCTCACCTAGCGCGCTCCCCCCGCCCCATGGCTGTGACCTGCCTGACTCATCTAGGATGGGTGGCGGGAGGTTGGGGACACCTCCGAGGGCGGAGGGACCGGAGGAGGCGGGCCAGGCCCTTCCCCCGCGGAGCCCGGGAGGAGGCGTTGCCAGGGCGCAGGTGAAACCGACTCCGACCTATCCTGGGAACTTTCGCCGTGGGGACTCGCTGCGAGAGGCCAGCGTCGCACCGGGGCGGCCTGGGACCCGCCCTCTCCCACCCAGGCTGCGCGCGAGGGGGCTCAGCCCCGGGGCCGCCCTCTGGGGACCCTCGGCCCTCCCGGCGCCTGGGCGGCTGATGGAGACGCGGGGTGCCGCGCTGGGTGCAGGTGACACCCGCGGGATCCAGGTTTCTGCTGGAGGCGGAAAGCGCTCCGAGGACCCGACGCAGGCACCTCGGGGGCCAGGGATCAGGCAGCGATGGCCCGAGAGCTGAGCCAGGAGGCACTGCTGGACTTCCTGTGCCAGGCTGGGGGTCGGGTGACCAACGCCACGTTGCTGAGCCACTTCAAGAGCTTTCTCCGAGACCCCAATGCGGACCCCAGCCAACACCAGCACCGCCGCGAGCTCTTCAAGGGCTTCGTGAACTCGGTCGCCGCAGTGCGCCAGGACCCCGACGGCACCAAGTACGTGGTGCTCAAGAGGAGGTACCGGGACCTTTTGGGGGAGGAGGGACTGCAGAGACCCCGTGAGCCTCGGGAGGCCGCCGTCCCTGCCGGGGGAGCGGCGTCCTGCTCCTCGCCCGGCGCGCGCCGCGGGGAGCCGCCACCGCCGCAGTCCCGCCGGCGGCGCCGCGAGAGGAAGCGAGAGGAGGAGCCAGCAGGTGCCGCAGCCCCGGCTCCGGACGCGGGTTGCAATGGTCTCCCCGCCAGCAGGGCCCGGGAGGCGGCCCGGGAAGAGCGCAGGCGGAAGGGCAGCCCCAGCCAGAGGTCACCCGCACCCGTGGCTCAGGCGATCGCGGCCCAGGTGGGCAGCAGGTGTGCGGCGGTCGAGACGCGGGGCAGCTGCTGCTGGGAATGCCAGCAGAACGGCCTGGGGCGGTTGCAGGGAGACCCAACGGCCCGAGCACTCCCGGACTCTGCCGTCACCGGGGAGGAGCCGGCGCGGGCTCCACCTGCCCGGGGGCAGCCGCAGCAAGACGCACCCACCGAGCGCGCACCAGTACCTGAAAGTCCCCGCTCAGAACCTGCCACCATCCAGGCTTCTGGGAGCCGGGCGTCGCCGCCTGCTTTCCCGCTGTGCCCGACTCCCTCCGGAGACCCGCCCGAGCTGATGCCTTCGGGCTCGCTGCACCATTCCACCCATCATCTGCAGCAGCTTCGCACTCAAGAGTGGGTGGCCAGACATCCGCAAGTGCCCGAGGCCCGGGAGCAAGTTCCTATCCGGGCCTGGTCGGTGCTGCCTGACAACTTCCTCCAGCTACCCTCGGGACCGGCTTTCTGGGTCTTGGAGACTACTAACACCGCGCTGTCCAAGTCTCCGCTTTCCTCTCACTCTCTCCATCCTGGGATTCCCGAAGGGTCTTCGGAATCGTGGTCCGGAAACCATCCACCGGAAGTTTTTCGTAGCATACGTTGTCAGTTGTCCCTCCAAGATCTCGATGACTTTGTGGACCAGGAGAGTCATGGCAGTGAGGAGAGCAGCAGTGGGCCCAAAGAGTCCCCTGGGGGTTCAGAAGAGGGACTGCCTGCTGCCCTGGGAACCCCAGATTGGGGAAAGCTCAGGAATCCCTTTGCAGGACTATCTGTGTCTCCAAAGGAAGGCAGTTCCAGCCAGAGCCCTCAGACGCTCAGGATCAGAGAGGATGGCCACACTTCTCAGCAGGCCCCTGTGGGGGCTAAGGGATACCCACAAGGGCCTCTGTCCTGGCCAGCTCCCAGGTTAAGGAGGTCCCTCAGAAGGAGCTATGGGGCAGGCAGAGCCAAATTGTCCTCCTCTGATGAGGAGTACCTCGATGATGGCTTGCTGAAAAGGAATCGGCGCCCACCGAGATCCAGGAAACCCTCTAAGGCAGGACTGATGCCTAGCCCACGGTTGGATGCAGCTTTGACGCACAGATTGTCAGATGTTAAGACTGTTGTGGCAGAGAGAGGTCTGTCACACAGTACGTGGGTCTCCAGCAGGGATGGGCATGCGGCCTTGGTACCCCGAAGATCTGAGCACAAGTCATCCCTGGTCCCTTTAGATGCTAGGGAGCATGAATGGATTGTGAAACTTGCCAGTGGCTCCTGGGTTCGGGTGTTGACTTTGTTCTGGGAGGATCCCCAGTTGGTTTTGCACAAAGATTTCTTGACCGGGTACACTGCCTTACACTGGATAGCTAAACATGGCAACCTCAGGGCCCTGCAGGACTTGGTCTCCGGAGCACAGAAGGCAGGGATTGCACTTGATGCAAATGTGAGGTCTGGTTGTGGGTATACCCCACTACACCTCGCAGCTATTCATGGCCACCAGGGGGTCATCAAATTGCTAGTGCAGAAGTTAGCTTCTCGGGTGAACATCCGAGACAGCAGTGGGAAGAAGCCATGGCAGTATCTAACCAGTAATACCTCTGGGGAAATATGGCAGCTCCTAGGAGCTCCTCGGGGCAAGCCGATTTTCCCTGTATACCCCCTGGTCCGAAGCTCTTCCCCCACTAGGAAGGCCAAGAGCAGGGATGTATCTAGAAATGTCACCCGAAAAACTTCCCTGGCTGCACTACTCAAAAATCAGCACAGTAAATGGAAATTGGCCAGCCAGTATGAGAAGTTCCATGCTCCCCAGGAAAGAGAAGAGTACAGTGACTGATGGAGTTTCCTCTCCAACATGCAAGAACTACACCCCATCTTTGAATCACCAGTGAGAGAGTCTGGGAACTAGGTGCTGGGAGTTGTAAAGAGATAGGTCAGGTGAAATAGCCTTCCTGGATTTCAATCAGTCCCATGGACTTGTCCTTGGGTTGGTCAAAACTTAGTCAAGGGACAGAACAAAGCACTTCAAACCCAGGAGTGGCACATCCCTCTCCAGTGACAGTGAAGATCTGGCCAAAGCCAAGCCCTGTGTTTCTCTACATCAGCAATTCCAGGTCTTTACTAGAAAGGGAACAGATGTCCAATCTAAAGAAGCAATGCAACAGGAAGGAACTTCCTGAACAGAGTCCCAGGGTCACAACAAGTTGGAGAGAGACTCGACAAATGGGACTACCTTAAAATAAAAAGCTTCTGCACAGCTAAATCTATCGCAACTAAGCTAGAAAGACAACCAACTAATTGGGAAAAAATATTTACCAGCAATATATCAGACAAGGGGTTAACATCCTGTATATACAGGGAACTCAAGAAACTAATCCCTCCCAAACCTAACAAACCAATTACTAAATGGGCAAGGGAACTAAAGAGGGACTTCTCAAATGAAGAAATAAAAATGGCAAAGAAACACATGAGGAAATGTTCATCATCCCTGGTGGTGAAGGAAATGCAAATAAAGACAACCCTGAGATACCACCTTACCCCAGTCAGAATGTCCCACATCCACAAATCAGCCAACGACAAATGCTGGAGGGGATGTGGAGAAAGAGGAACCCTATTACACTGCTGGTGGGAATGTACACTTATACAACCACTTTGGAAAGCAGTCTGGAGGGTCCTTAGAAAGCTAAAGATTGACCTCCCTTACGACCCAGTCATACCACTTCTAGGCATCTACCCTGAACAACAGGAACCAATATACAAGGACACGTGCACCTCCATGTTTATTGCAGCACTGTTCGCAATAGCTAGGATATGGAAACAACCTAGGTGCCCCACCACAGATGAATGGATCCAAAAATTGTGGTATCTATACACAATGGAATATTATGCAGCCATTAGAAATGACAAAATAATGGCATTTGCAGGGAAATGGATGGAGCTAGAAGGAATCATGTTGAGCGAGGTAAGCCAAGAACGAAGAGACAAACGGTACATGGTCTCCCTCATAAGTGGATGCTAAATCCAAAAGGTTAGTGATACGACAAAACTAACAGGACTTAAGAAACAAAGAACTCCCGCTCATCTGGTTGAACCACTACTAAATATCCTCATGCTGCTGATCACAAATATGGTATATAACATGTGAACACTGTTATATATTACAGACTGTGGTAGACAATTTGCTCCAGGGAAGTTAGAATGAACTTGTGACTTTGAAATTATGTAATCATTTAATCACAATCAAAAAAAAAAAAAAAAAAAAAAGAACCTCGGGGAAGGGAGGGAGGGAGGGGATGGTAGGGGGAAAACAATGGAGGGGGTAACAATGTTCAAGAGGAAGTGTACTCATAACCTCACTCATGTAACTGTGACCCTCTGTATAGTAGCTTTACAATAAAAAAAAAAAAAAAAAAAAAAAAAAATAATAAAAAAAAATAAAAAAAAAAAAAAAAAAAAAAAAAAAAGAAGCAATGCAAGAGATTCACAAAGCTCAGACAAGCTCCTCTCTGGCCCAGAGCTCTCTGGCTTCTCTCCATCTGGAGAATAAATCTTGGCTGGGAGTGGAAGGCACCAGGTTTGAAATCAGATGGCGTGCTTTCTTTCTCTTTATATGCTTTTTTTTTGGCATTCACTAAAATAGAACCATTATTGGAGAGCAGAATTTGATTTAAAGAGATTCTTCAGCCTTGTGTACGAATCTCCTTCTGAATGTCACCTGTGGTGACTAGTGGGTGACCTGATTAGTGCCTCCCGTAGGTATCTTACGAGCAGAAAAGCAGTTTGGTAAGATCTGGTTGTGACCTCAACTCCACTCCCTAGAGAAATGATTGGCATTCAGGCCCTGTATTTTATTATCAACCCAACAGGAACTTTCCAAGTGCAAAAACAGTGTGGCTCATTTGCATGGTAACTGAAACCATCGTTCAGGGACACTCCCTGAGGAATAAACAGAATTCTCACTAGTAGTTTTCAATAAGTTTGAATGGCCAACCTTGCTACTCATGAAAATAAAGGATTTCACTCTGGGGAAGCAGTAGTATTAAGAGGAGAATGTCTCTCCATCAGAACTCTTCTCAGCTGCTAACTATAGTTTTATTTGCACTAAACTTCTTGCCAATTAAGATTAAAAATTAGCCTGTAAGTACTGTGTGTTTAACAGGAAGTGTTCCTTTCAATTGCTTGGGAAGCGACCGATCACTCTGAATGCCTGAAACAAAAGTGACCAGTGCACAAACCACAGTAAATCACCAAGATTTCTGAATGTAAATTCAAACAGGACTGGAAAATTAAGTGTTCAAATTGAAATTGCTCGTGTGTGTGTGTGTGTGTGTGTGTGTGTGTGTGTGTGTGTGTTATGTGTGTTCCTTCTGGTTATTTCCTTCCATTAAAAGATCAGAAGATGTTTATTATATTTTATTTGTGCTGATTAGTGTTGCTTCTTTACAAACTATGTCCCAGTGTCAAATATTTTGTAAATTTGTGTTTTTACTTTAAAATTTTGCTGAAATGAATCTCTCACACACATACACACCTCCTTCTCCTCTCCCTCCCTCCTTCTCTCCCCCTCTAGGAATTCAACACAGGGTCTTGGTAGGCAAATGCTCTAATACTGAGCTACACCCCTAGCCCCTATCTCTTTATAAACAACAGGATTGGGAGAGATGGAGAAGAAAGATCAATCAAGATGCTCTGTACTTATAACCTGATTTGTTCAATGGTAACCCCTTTGTACAGCTATTCAAAGATAACAAAAATACAATTTAAAAAACAATTAAGTCTGTAGGCTTTCCCCACTCAAAAAAAAAATGAAATACAGGATGAACAATTGGCAAATTAAAGAGAGAGAGAGAATTCCAGATGAGAGCATAGTTAACAGGGGCAAAGATTGCAAGATAAGCACATTTGTAAACACCTCAGTAAATGTCAACTTCTTTTAAAAAGCTAATGAAGGTATTTTTCTTAAACTGGCTTTCTCACTTATCAACTTACCCAACAAATACTTCACAAGTGCTGTGGGATTTATGAGAATCTAACAATATTTGTTCTTTTTATTAAGTAGTTGTACAAAGGGGTTCCAGTTTCACAAGTCAGATTATGAGTACAATGCTTGTAGATCAATGTCACTCCAATTTTTTGATTGCTTTATACCTTGTCTTGCTTCCAGATTGTCTTTTAAATCCGTATTATATGAGATATAAGTTTGAAATACTAGAGAAGAGGAATAAAGAGGGCACCAGGAATAAGGATACACAGTATAATAGAATAGAAGGAAAAAAAATTCAGTGTCATAATATAACATTAAGTGACATGGAAGATTGACAGAGACAGCAAGAAAGCAAGTAAGAGAAAGAGATAGCAAAAGAGAGAGAGGGAGGGAGGGAGGGAAGGATAGGAACAGGGAGGGAAGGAAAGAGAGAGCTCCAGACCAAGCACCCTTAGGCTGGGAAATCTATGTGTGAATGATACTGGCCTTCCCATGAAACCAGATTTGTTAGTTCTACCACATTCTTGCTTTCTGCTTCAGAGTATGCTTTACACAGCCCTGGTGTTGGCCAATTGCTCCCCAGTTGGGACACAGTTCTAGGTCCCAGGTTGGTTCTCATCAGGATCCATTTCTCATCTCTTTTGGGCTTTGGCTACATGTCACACTGGACCAGATCTACTTTCTTATAGGGTTGGCATGCCGTGTTGGGTCAGGGCAAGGCAGAAGACACTGTTCAGTGAGCAAAATAGATCTGAACCTGTTGTTCCTGTTGCAAAGGCCAGGCCAGTGGGGCTGCCTGTCTGATCTGGATCTGGAAATCTTAGGGCTACTCCATAACCAATGAGGCCCACATAGAAGCCACCGGAGCCTCCTTAGGTGCTTTGGTCGCACACTCAGTGTCTGACGTGGTGCTTAATTTCTTCTACTTAGAAACCATTTTTGGTTCTTTTTTTCTGGTAAACTTACTCATATTCTTCAAAGCACAGATCAAAGGCAAACTATAACTAGGATCCCAAGCTGAATACCACCAAACCATTCATGCCAGCTACTTCACTTGCATTCCCAGAATTCTGTATGTACCTGACATTTCAATTTTCCACATTGCATTAAAGCAAATTGCATGTTTTAGCTTTCTTAAGATGTTGAACATCTCAAGATTAGAAAATAATAGTTTGAACTCTTCTAAATATAGCATTTTCCTCTATTCTTTTTCTTTTCTCCTCTGTGTATGTGCACACACACGCATGCATGCATGCACTCACACATGCTCGTGTGCATGTTGAAACTTGAGCTCTAGGCTTCCCCCTTTAACTTGTCTTCCTCTCACAGTTGGCACTCTACCACTTAGGACATACCTCCACTTCTGGCATGTTGCTGATTAACTGGAGATTAAGCGTCTCTCAGATTTATAACTGCTGGACTGACTTAGAACTGTGATCCTCAGGTCTCAACCACCCAAGTAGCTAGGATTACAGGCATGAGCCCAGCTTTTCTTCCTTTCTTTTTTAAGAGACAGGATCTCTCTATGTTGCTATGACTCCAAACTCCTGGGCTCAGGTAAGCCTCCCAATTGAATTAGAACTCAGATAGGCCGTTGCTCCTGGCTAAGTTTTCTAGAGAGTCATCAAGCATCGAATCTGAAATAAAGACCTAATTTCCTGCTTCAGGAGTTCATTGACTGAATAATAACCAGGCAACTTGACAGTGATGAATTCAAGCATCAAGGCTTGAGAAAGAGAGTGGCATGTATATTAGGTGTTTTCTGTGTCCCAAGCTATAGGCTTGTGAGGGAAACACAACATAAATCAAAACATCCTGTTCTGAGGGAGTTCTGACTGGGGAATTCAGGATGTGACAGGATGTGAAGAGGAGAGTTGGAAAGAATCTCTTAGGAGAGGAAGGACCATGAGAAAAGCTATGAGAAGTGTCTGAAGGTACTTAGTCACTTCCTGGGGTAGCAGTAAGGCTGTGTGGAAAGAGATGGAAATGGAAAGGTCATTTACCACCACATTGCATGTGTCAAATATATAGACCTTGTCTAAAAAGCCAGGGATTATGGAAGTTCCTCCCCTAAAAAATCTTTGATGTTTTTCTACTCTGTGTGTGTGTGTGTGTGTGTGTGTGTACCTACCAGTATTGATGCTTGAACCCAGGGCCAGGCCACTCTTCCATAGCTTTTTTTGCTCAAGGCTAGCACTTGGGCGGCACCTCTAGGCATTTTGTTCTTTGCTTATTTTTCATTTAGTGTCTTGTGCTTTTTACCTGGGCTGGATTCAGGCTGCTTTATGCATCCTATGTCGCTAGTATTCCAAGCATGGGCCTATGCCCAGCTTCTTTGTTGAGATGAGGATCTCAATAACATTTTTATGCCCAGCTGGTCTTGAACCAAGATCCTCCTAAGTGGGATTTATAGGCATGAGCCACTCATCTGACTGTTTCTGTCTGTCTGTCTGTCTGCCTGCCTCTCTATTTTTCCCTCCCTCTCTCCCTGTAGTTGCATGTAGTATAAGTGTTCTTAGTTTTCTACCTCATTTGGCCCTAAATGATTATATGCCAAATATGTAATATCCAGAAACAGGATAAAGGAGAAGGGAGTATAAAATTATACCAAGGCCATCTAGTCAAGGTCAGATTGCTACATGGACACTAAACATTGCTAACACACACACACACACACACACACACACACACACACTCTATTACCAATGTGTAGAAGCAAATAGGGACAAAGATAGAACAGTAGACTCGTCTTGCTTTGACCTGGAGCTATAAATTCTCCTCATAGAAGCTTTACCTCTGTTCCTAAGGGGCACCTGCCCTAAGTAGTATTTCATAACATCTAATTACCCTGCCACCTTCTAGGCATTGAAGAAAGATCATAAGACAAGGCCTTGGATTATGTAAACAAGATCCCTAACACCTGTTGTTAAAAACTCAGGAGCACTGAGTTCCCAAAATACTTTCAACATGTAGGGGCCACACATTTCCTTCAGAAGCAGTGTCTCTACTGTGGATTATAGTTCACAAAGTTCTCTCTCTCTCTCCCCTCCTCCTCTTTCTCTCTCTCATGTGCTGGTACTAGAACTTAAGCTCAGGGAGTACACCTTTAACTTTTTCGCTCAAAACCATCACTGTACCATTTGAATCTCTTCATCTCTGGCTCTCTGATGGAAATAAGAGTCATGGCTTTCCTGACTAAACTGGCTTCAAACTGCAATACTCGGATCTCAGCCTCCTTAGTAGCTAGGATTATAGGCATGAGTCACCAACACCTGGCTCCAATTTTCTCTTCTCTTTATTCTTTTTTCTTGCTCTTTCTCTCCCTCCTTCCTTCCCTTCCTCCCTCCCTGACTCTCTCCTTCCTTCCTTCCTTCCTTCCTTCTTTCCTTCCTCCCTCCCTTCCTCCCTCCCTCCCTTCCTCCCTCCCTCCCTCCCTCCCTCCCTTCCTTCCTTCCTTCCTTCCTTCCTCCCTCCCTTCCTCCCTTCCTCCCTTCCTTCCTTCCTTCCTTCCTCCCTCCCTCCCTCCCTCCCTCCCTCCCTCCCTTCCTTCCTTCCTTCCTTCCTTCCTTCCTTCCTTCCTTCCTTTCTTCCTTCCTTCCTTCCTTCCTTCTTTTCTCTCATTTTCTTTCCTTATCTCTCTCTGTCTCTCTGTCTCTGTCTCTGTCTCTGTCTCTGTCTCTGTCTGTCTCTCTCTCTCTCTCTCTCTCGTGGCAGTCCTGGGGCTTGATCTCAGGGCCTGAGCACTGTCCCTGAGTTTTGTTTTGTTTTTTTTCCCTCAAGATGAGTACTTTCCTACTTAAACCACAGCTCCACTTTCAGGATTTTGTTTTGTTTTTTAGTAATTAATTGGAGGTAAGAATCTCATGGACTTTCCTACCTGGGCTGGTTTGAACTACAGTCCTCAGATCACAGCCTCCTGAGTAGCTGGGATTACAGGTGTGACCACTTGCTCCCAATTCTCATCTTTATTTTTATTCCATAATTGCAATTAAGAGGCTGATACTTATTTAGTATTTTATATTGGTATTTTATATTAGTATAAATACTAATACTTATTAGTATTTTAAATTATTTAATGCTTCAATTATGGGTGGCTCTGTCATTCTACCTGCATGTCTACTGCATAGATGATGGAAGCTGAACAGGTTGAGTTCATATTCTTACCTCAGAGCTTTATTGTATTTATTTCAGCTGTCTCCTAGATTTGTAGAGCAGGTAGGTGGCTGGCTCCACGACTGCTGAAATTCCTCAGGAAAAGCCCAAGTTTGATTGAGGAGGGAATATGGTTAACTCTGTGGACACAGGACAAAGACAGATCATCCACAGCAGAGGTATCACCTCAGAATGACCCTACTGCCTTATATGTGTGCTATCTACAATCCCTGGTCTCTTGGGTCCAGAAATCATCTGCTAACAGCCTTGCCCTGGCCACCTGGAAGAGTACAGGTGTGTAAAATCACCTGGTTCTCCTGGAGCTCTGGATGCAGGCTGACTCTTGGTCTGATGACTCTTCCTTCTCCAACACTGTGGTGTTATAGGTCTTTATGTGCTATTTTCTCACATGCTGAACACTTATGTCTTTTATTCATTCTCTGAGTTGAAAAACAGCAAATTGTATCCTTTAAAATTTAAAGCCACAGCATGAGGTTTTTGCTGTGATATCCATTGGACTTGAAGTTCGAGGCTATCTGTTCCTGAAAGGAAATGGACCATGTTCTCAGAGAGTGACAAATGGAAGGGAAGGTAATTTTTGTGTTTCAAAATGAAGCCCAGGACCCTTAAGCCCTTTGTGCTTATCATTTATCATTGTATTTAGAGGCATAAAATGAGTCAGTAAACTGGGCATGGAGACTCATGTCTGTAATCTTAGCTACTCATCATGGTTCAAAGCCAGCCTGGGCAGGAAAGTTGGTGAAACTCTTATCTCCAATAAACTACCAACAATAAAAAAAATAAAAATCTGAAAGTGGAGCTGTAGCTCAAGTGGTAGAGTGCTTGAACAAAAGAAGCTCAGGGACAGTGCCCAGACCCTGAGCTCATGCCCAAGGAAGAACCAGAACACACAAATACAAAACAAAACAAAACAGCCCATTAGTCAGTAAACTGGGAGCTGGGCGCTTACACCTGTAATCCTAGCTACTCAAGAAACTGAGGTCTGAGGACTGAGGTTCAAAACTAGCCCACACAGAAAAATCCATGAGACTCTTATCTCCAATTAACCACCAAAAATCAGGAAGTGGAACTGTGGCTTAAAATATAGAGTAAGAAAAAAGCCTGAAGTGGCGCTGTGGCTCAAGTGGTAGAGCACTAGCCTTGAGCTGAAGAGCTGAGGGACAGTGCCCAGGCCCAGAGTTCAGGCCCCATGACTGGACCAAAAAAAAAAAATATAGAGTGTCAGCTTTGAGTGAAAAAGCTAAGGGACAGTGGACATGTCCTGAGTTCAGGCCCCATAACCAGCACAAAATCAAAATAAGACAACAACAACAAAGCTAGTCGGTTGACAAGATTTTGTATTTTATTTTTATTTTATTATTTTTTTTTGGGGGGGGGGTTCCGGTCGTGGTTCTGAACTCTGGGCCTGGGCGCTGTCCCTCAGCTCTTCAGCTCAAGGCTAGCGCTCTACCACTTGAGCCACAGCGCCAGGTCCGGCTTTTTTCTTTTTGCTTATGTGGTGCTGAGGAATCGAACCCAGGGCCTCAGGCATGCAAGGCAAGCACTCTACCACTGAGCCACCTTCCCAGCCCAGATGTTGCATTTTATATATGGAGGAGCCTCACACTTCCTAGCTAAATCCTGTCCCACTTGAGCCATTTGTTTACTTATTTGTTTAATTATTTATTTAGATATATGGCCTTCCCATATTGCCCAGACTAATCTTGAATTTGTGCTCTCAAAGTGGTTTTGCTGGCTTCAGTCTCAACTTGGACTACAAGTATATATCACCAAGACCAACTTTACATGTTTTTAGGTTTTAAAGACTTTAACAGTGATAAAGAATAGTACATGCTTATTATAATGAAAGATCTACAACATATAAAAGAGCAGAAAGTAACTGCCCCTAATTTCTCAATTTAGCTCAAGCTAGTCATGATAAACTTTGGGGAGTACCTATCCATTATTTATAACAAAAATAAAACCATACTTTATGTTGTTAATTGCCAACTCATCTTATTATTTAGTATGTTAATTTCATCTTCCGTAAGAGCTGGATATTATATGTTGAGCCAGATACAAGAAGTCTCTGTCTTCAGATCATGGCAAGTAGAGAGGGTGAGCAATTGCACATGCAGCACTCCATTACTAGGGCTTGAACTAGGCCTGGACATGCTCCCTTTCCTATTTTCAACTAAGGTTGGTGTTTTACTACTTGAGACAGCTCTACTTCGACCTTTTTGCTAGCTAGAGATAATGGACTTTTCTATTTGGGGTGGGGAGTCTTGTTCCAAATTATGATCCTCGGATCTCAGACTCCTGAGTAGCCAGGATTCCAGATATGAGCCACTAATGCCTTGTGTTAGTTATTTTGGAGATAAGGTCACCAATTTATGCCTGGTTGGACCTAGACCACAGTTCTCTTATTTATGCTTCCCATTTAGCTGCCATGACCTAGAACTCACCACCATGCCCAGCTAGTGACTGAGGTAGGGTCTTGCTAGTTTAATGCCTGAGTTGGCCTTGATCATCCTAATCTCCTTCTCCTAAGGGGCTGGATTACAGGCCTGAGCCACCCAGTTCTGCCTCCTTTCTTTTGTTTTAAACAGCTTCTTTGCCAATGAGCATGTGACTGTACAAGAAGGAGACTCTTCCTCTAAAAGACTATTTACCTACTCCCACCATGACAGGAAGATAAGGAAACTCCCTCTGGTGGCCACCCACCCACCCACCCATCCCCTACAGCCTTTCAGTTTGCCTCTGGGGCCATGATATCATTGAACAGGTGTGCGTCAGATGGGCCTGATAAACATTCACTATGCTAGATTTCAACTCTAAATGGTGAGATCTACCAGTATCACTGGGCAGGCTTTCCATCATTCAACTTAAGGATATGAAAGGGAATATAGAAATCTAATGAGTGTGTATACACATATATATTTCCTGATCATATACTCTGTGGGGGGGAGGGGGGTGTGCTCGCGTGCACGCGCCCCAATCCTGGGGCTTAGTGTCTGGGCACTGTCCCTGGGTTGTTTCTGTTTTTTTTTTTTTTGTCGGCCGTGGGGCTTGAACTCCGGGCCTGGGTGCTGTCCCTCAGCTCTTCAGCTCAAGGCTACCATTTGAGCTACAGCGCCACTTCCGGTTTTCTGGTGGTTTATTGGAGATAGGAGTCTCACGGTCTTTCCTGCCCCGGGCTGGCTTTGAACCGCGATCCTCAGATCTCAGTCTCCTGAGTAGCTAGGATTACAGGGGTGAGCCACCAGCGCCCGGCAAGGGTTGTTTCTGTTTAAGGCTAGCACTCTACCACTTGAGCCACAGCTCCACTTCCAATTTTTTGGCGGTTAATTGGAGATAAGGATCTCATGGACTTTCCTGCCAAGGCTAGCTTTGAACCGTGATTCTCAGATGTCAGTCTCCTGAGTAGCTAGGATTATAGGTGAGAGCCAACTTAAAGTATGGTCTGAAGGGGCTAGGAAGGTGGCTCAGTGGTAGAGTGCTTGCCTTGCATGCATGAGGCCCTGGGTTCAATTCCTCAGCACCACATAAGCAAAAAGAAAAAAGCCGGAAGTGGCACTGTGGCTCAAGTGGTAGAGCACTAGCCTTGAGCTGAAGAGCTCAGGGACAGCGCCCAGGCCCAGAGTTCAGGCCCCACGCCCGGACCCAAAAAAAAAAAGTATAGTCTGAAGTTCAAGATTGATGCTAGAGTTTTTCAGTACATTCGAACAGTTCAAACATATAAAAGATATATCCTAATAATAAATAGGACCTAATCATTCCATGCCACTAAATCCCCTTTTAACTTTTAGTTGCATAGTTCTAGCATGTTGTATTTGATTTTACTTTGTGTTATTTTTTACCTCATACCTCATTTATTCAAACAAATTTCCTTCTTCACAACTGTTTGTTTATAGATCTCAGCCTCCTGAGTAGCTAGGATTACAGGCGTGAGCTACCAGTGCCCGGCCATATAATATATTGTATGTAGCAGTTTGCCTAGTGAGTCTCTTACCTCTTTTCCTTCTTTTTTTTTTTTGTTGTTGTTGTGGGGTTTGAAGTCAGAGTTTGTGCACTGTCCCAGAGCACCTTTGCTCAAGGCTAGCACTCTACCACTCTGAACCACAATGTCACAGTACCACTTCTGGTTTTCTGGTGGTTAACTGGAGTAAGAGTCTCATAGGGACTTTTCAGCCTGGGCTGGCTTCAAAACATGGTCCTCAGATCTCAACTTCCTGAGTAACTAGGATTATAGGCATGAGCCACTGGCAGTGGGACTAACATTTTTATTAAGAAACATTAGTTTTACAAAGGGGATTTCATTGTGACCTTCCCATACCCACCAACTTCACCCCCACCATTCCTCTCCCTCATTCCCTATCCTTTTGGAATTTTAGGTTTTATCTCATTAATGCTGATATAAATAAATATCTTGGTAAAAATATTGATGAAGGTCTTTTTATTCTTGGCTGTTTTTTCCCCAGGTACAATCATATAGTTGTTATTTCTCAATATGAATTGGATCATGTGAGTGTCCCTAGCACAGGTGTCCCCAGAAAGTCCTGCAATCTAACAGTAAGTCTTACAACTTTAATTTCCTCTCTCTGTCTCTGTCTCTTTTTCTCGTGTGTATGTGTGTGTGTGTGTATGTGTGTGTATGTGTGTGTGTGTCTGTGTATGTGTCTGTATCTGTGTGTCTGTGTGTCTGTGTTTCTTAGGACTTGAATTCAGGTCTTCTTGCTCTTGCTCAGCTCCTTTGCACATGATTGGTACTCTACCACATGAGTCGCACTTCCAGCCTGGAGGTGATTGCTGGTTAATTGGAAATGGAGTCTCACAAACTTTTCTTCCAGGCCAGATTTGAACATAGAGCCTCCAAATCTTAGACTTTTGAGTAGCTAGGATTACAGGTATGAACCCCAAGTACTGGTCCCAATTTTTTTTTTAATTGAGCAACATTTACATTGAATTATACTTTTTTTTCTTTCTAGCAAAACTGTCTTTCATGACTGACAGACATGTAAATTTGTATTATTAAAAAGAAACAAGTAAGATATTGTTGGCATATTCATCTAAATATTCTTTTATTATCTGAACGCAAAAGGCTGAACTGGATTGGATCTTTGGAGGCAGGTAATCAAAGGAGTATGCAGAGGCAGTGAGGATCTAGGAGTTCAGGTGGACCAGAAGGAAAGGAGGTCAGGGTAGAGTAGAGGTGTTAAGGCTGACACTTCAGAATTGTTGGTTCAGAAGTGAGGGGATGGATGGGTTGGAAGGGATGAGTTGAGAATGTTGAAAGAGATGACATTGATCAAGTTACATGGTATCCATATACTGCTTCATAAAAAGGTAACTCCGTTGTACAAGATAATAACCATGAAAATAATTGTTGACTCAGAATCCAGATTAATGGAGTAATTTAATGGACTAAAAATTGTGTCAAATCAATGGGCAGAGCTAGGACAGTTTGAGCACCAAAGTAGTATTGGATTATAACCCAAAGCATAAAATAGATACAAATATGCTATTGTTTCATCACTATAAATCGCTAGTTGAGTAAATTTAAAGCAGAAAGGCAAATATCTTAGAGAATTTCAAATAAACTACAAACTATGTAGACAGACACTTCACTACAAACTATGTAGACAGACAGTACTGGGGCTTATATTCAGGGCCTCACAATCTAGCTCAGCTTGCTCCCTGGGCTGGTGCTTTACCACTTGAGCTACACCTCTAGACTAGCTTTTGCTTGCTAATTGGAAATAGTCTCAAGGACTTTTCTGCTCAGGCTGGCTTTAAGCCATGATTCTCCACGTCTCAGCCTCCTAGGTAGATGGTGTGAGCCACCAGCACCTTGTCAGATAATTCACCTGAAGGTAGAGAATGATTCCTCAAGTCCTTTCTCCAAAAGTGTGAGCAACACAGAGGGACTGCCTTTGTAAGCAGTATGAAGAGTGGGAAAGAGGAAATTTCCAGTAGAGAAGTTTGATGACACTTCCTTAGTTATACCATCCCTGTCAGTATCAACAGACAGGAGTCAAGTTGTCAATATCTAGACATGATGTCATGAGAATGGCACTTACTGCTGCAGTCTCCTGTCCCAACACACATAATCAGGAGTGTGATCTTGAAGAAAACATTCCTCAAATTCCAATACAGAGGTACTCCACAATCTACTTGCTCAAAACTTGTTTTGTTTGAAAATAAGGAAATGAAAGGCAGAGCCAAGAGGAACCTTAGGTGATAGAAGAGCTACAGGTAATATCCTGGTGGGATCTTG